TAGCCTCGCTGCATGCAGTTAGCCTCACTGCACGCAGTTAGCCTCGCTGCACGCAGTTAGCCTTTCTGCACGCAGTTAGCCTGGCTATATGCAGTTAGCCTGGCTGTAGGCAGTTAGCCTCGCTGCATGCAGTTAGCCTCGCTGCATGCAGTTAGCCTGGCTACATGCAGTTAGCCTCGCTGCATGCAGTTAGCCTTGCTGCACGCAGTTAGCCTCGCTGCACGCAGTTAGCCTCGGTGCATGCAGTTAGCCTCGGTGCATGCAGTTAGCCTCGCTGCACGCAGTTAGCCTCGGTGCATGCAGTTAGCCTCGGTGCATGCAGTTAGCCTCGGTGCAGGCAGTTAGCCTCGCTGCATGCAGTTAGCCTCGCTGCATGCAGTTAGCCTCGCTGTGCACAGTTAGCCTCGCTGCATGCAGTTAGCCTCGCTGCAGGCAGTTAGCCTCGCTGCATGCAGTTAGCCTCACTTCATGCAGTTAGCATCTGTGCACGCAGTTAGCCTCGCTGCAGGCAGTTAGCCTCGCTGCATGCAGTTAGCCTCACTTCATGCAGTTAGCATCTGTGCACGCAGTTAGCCTCGCTGCATGCAGTTAGCCTCGGTGCATGCAGTAAGCCTTGCTGCAGGCAGTTAGTCCAACCCAGCGGTCGGCAATCCGTGGCTCCGGAGCCGCATGGGGCTCTTTAGCGCCCCCCTTGTGGCTCCCTTGAGGTTTTTCAAAAATGGATGAAAAATGTATTCTTTTTCTTGTTCTTTTTTTGTATTTTAATATGGTGTGCAGGAGGTCAGACATTCATTATGTTTTCCAATGCTGTAAACATTTGTATAATAAATACATTTAAACAATATATATTAACATTTATTCAACGTAAATGTGCGTCATAGCCATAGAGATCAGAGGTCAAAGCCTGCAGCGCACATTTCAGGTGCCAGGCGAAGAAAGCGGCGGGTGTGTCTTGGGCAATGGAACCCAAAGGGAAAAAAGGAAGATAGCTGATGAGAAAAGAGGATTCAGAGAAGAATTGACAAAATTATTTGCTTTCATTATCAATGCGGAAGATTTTCCTGCATTTTTGCTTTGGCACGATAATTTGTCAAATAATAAAAAAGAGTAATTTGGAAAGGCATTTCTAGGGAAGGCTAAATATGCAACCGATCACCAAGCTGAGAGGGAGAGAAAGAATGCGATTGCAGAACTTCTGGGTAAATTAGAGGAGAGCAAAGATAGATTTAAGAAGTGGATTGCATCTCCAAACTCCACTACTGCTGCTAGTTTGGTTGCAAGGATTAAACAAAACATCCAGAGATCAAACTGGTAGCGCTCTGATGCAGATATGTGAATTTTTTTCAATTTTTACCCCCAAAATCCTCAACATAAGAATATCACCAAGGAACGGAGGATGTGAGATTTCAGGGTTAGAGAGCTCTGCTCCTATGGATGCCAGTTCCTGCTTCCACCATAAAAAAGATTCCTTTATTGTGTTTCTATCATTTCATCACTGCAACAAAACTTAAACCACGCGGTGAGGTCCACTATGGCTCTTTGAGCAGTTTGGGTAGCCGAGCTCTGACCTAGCCTTGTAGCTAAACCAGGTCCTGGAAAAAGACAGAGTGAACCGTCTCCATCTGTCTTTGGACTGATTCGTCTTGTTCAGCCATTCAGGTTCAAACAGTTTCACCTCCAGCTTCTCTTGCGTCCCTCCCATGACTCTACCTGTCAATCAGCCGCACCTCAACTGTGTTGCATGGACGACTTTTAACCACAGCCTATGGGCGAAGATATTTACTCCCCAGGGCAGAAATATGTCACCAATCCACCACAAACAAAAGGTGAATTTCATCTACAGATGTGATAAAGAAATATGAGTCATCCATCCAGAGATACAGGTTCAAAAGTTTAGTTCTACAGTTCCAATAAAACAGCTTCAAGTCTTTCTAAACCTCCATAGATACCAGAAAAAATATGTGAACTCTTGTTCCCAGACAAATTCTAATTTATTTTCATTGGCTTTCCACACATTTGACCTTTTCAGAAGGACTCAATTTAGAAAACCTCGAGTGTCTAAATTCATTGAATTCTGCTTACAAAGGTAACAGGGACAGAAACCATCAACAATCCTTCAAGTTTTACATCAACTATTGCAGCCAGAATAGGTGGCCTCGTGCCTGTGGCGGTGCGGTGAGTGGCTGGGTGTCAAATAAGGGTGTAATTATAACGATCCACCTCAATATATTTATTACATGATAAACAATCTAACTTTGCACACGTAAAACAAAATCATTGATCCACATTATCATCTTTAACTGTATCTTTAAATTCACAAGTCAAAAGATCGTAGTAAACAGCTCTCATATATATATATAGATATATAAATAGTTGTCAAGTTGTTTCTGATTTTTTTACTTGACTGTGTTCTTTGTTAGTCCTGCCTTTTTAGTTTTGTTCCCCCCCTCCTTTCCAGAGCACGGCCAAATGGGCGGGGCTAAAGTATCAGTATTTATCTGAGGAGAATATTTTCAGGGTTTCGTCATATTTTACATGAATGAACACTTGAAACAAACTTAACCTGCAGAGATTTTTCATAGGATCTTTATCTCTGCTCCCATTTCTCCTCCCTGGTTTGTTGTTTAATTCATCCTGTAGAGTCTGAGTTAGAGTTCAGTTGTTTTAATGGTTAATAAGAAATCACTTTTCATCTACTTTCTTTCTGTACCTTTTTGTCCACAATTTATTTAACATTCTCTTTTAACACCGACTTAGAAAAACCTCAAAACAACTCTCAAAATCTCTAACGTTTTTAGCACTACAGCCCAAATGGTTATTATTTAATCTTTAGTTCTGTGGAGATTCTTTTCACACCAGAATGCAATCATCTATCCTAACGTTTCTGAAGAGGGAAGAGAAAACCGTGATTTTTATACTTTTCATCTTTTAAAGAAACATCTGCTCAGGTAATTTCCTCCCTCAGTAAGAGGAATGAGGTCTGCTTTTGTTGGAATTCACTAAACACTGAAATGGGATTACTGCCTTACATGTAAACTTTAAATTGTGATCTATTAATTTTCCAGACCTCTATTTGTACATTTAAAAATACAAAAAGCATTCATATGGTTGATTGAGTTTATATACAGACACGTGTCTTCTACAGTCAGATTATATAGCCAGATGGTCTGAGAACCCAAATAATTCTGATTTTAGTGACGCAATCAATTTTTTAAGCAACTAAAAAGCTGCTTCTGATTTTATACGTTCATGAAAATCAATGAGGTTTAATTCTAATTTGAATCCCAACTAAGAAAAAGCAGTAAAGGAAGAAAGTAGGCATAAGAGGAAGCCATGGTAGAGCCCCTGTTGTGTGAAAGATGAAGCGAGGTGTAAATTAGCAACACAAAAGGCTCTAATGTGGAGGGAACTCAGGTTCCTTTGATCCTGGCTGAGAGTCTTTTGTTTAAAACCTTCGATTCTCCTCAGCCATTCATCGCGGCCCTCTGAAGTATAGAACAGAGCGCTCCGTTTGGCCTGCATGTCTCAGGCTAATGGCTCTTAGATACCTGGGGGGGGGATATCCACAGGTGTGGGCTTAGAGTTTGCAGGTTGGTGGTTAAAAGTCTTTTAAACCTAAATTAAGCCAAGATTTTAAAAATCCCTTTAGTTTTTTCTATCTAAGGAGGGTTCGTTAGTTTGGCTTCGTTAATGGTGACTAATTCAGTCCAAGGGTTTTGTTCTATTGTGGAAATATATTCTTATCTCTCCTGTGATGGTTTCATATTAAAGTGTTTATTAAACTCGGTTGTCAAACCCATAAGTGTCATGGCTTTCCCCTTTTGAGACTCTGAGTTTTTTAGTTTTCAGTTGTTCTGTTTTGTTGATCTTTGGTTTATTTTCCATTATATTCAAGCAGTCTTTAGTTACTCTCTGCTGCCCCCTTGTGCTTGTTTCCTTTCCCCTTGGCTTCTTTCTAGTTAGTTCCACTCACACCTGCTCCATATCAGTTCATTAGTCCATCCTTTGTTCAGTTCCCCTTATATACTCCACCTTTGCAGTCATTTAGAGCTGCTTCCTTGTTGTTGTTTTGCTGTTGTCTCTGGTTCCCCGGGTGAGTTTTTCCTGATGTTTTCTGTTTTTGTACTTTGGATTACTGCCTCAGTTCTGTCTTTAAATCTGTAAGACTCACCTCTGCCTCCTGATCTCTCAAAAACCTCCACCCAACTGTGACAGTAATGTTCAAACACAGTTAAGACCTAAAGGTTTTTTGGGTTTTTTTCTAGGTTAACATTTTCAGACATTTCTAACGAATCATGTTTGCAAAAAGCTTCTGTTAATAGGAAATATTCCAAGGTTACACATATGTGGCGCACCAAGCTGATTCCCACAAAGTATTTTATTTTTCCTGCTTCAGTTTAAAACTAACATCCTTCCTTAGATTCTTTGTCTGACCTTTTTAATGGCCAAGGAAGTAAATAAGGTTTTACTTAGTAAAATAAATTAAAGGCATCAAAATAGGATAATTACAAGTGTCACAAAATAAAATACCATCATGAAATAAAGACAATTTAATTAATATGCAAGATTTAAATAACAAAATAAATGCATACGTAAAGCTTAAATTTCATTAATAATAAAATTTAAATGTATTAATAAAATATTTAAAGCATGAAATTAATAAATACGTAAACATAGAATAAATATATAATCTAAAAATATTTTGCTGTATTTCAGTTGGTAATTTTCATTTATTTGATAGGATATTTATTGATAATTTGAGTAAAGCAATTTAGTTGTTTTATTTTGAATAAAAAGGCTCTACATACTGGGAAGAAAGAAGTAGCAAAAAATTAGATGCATAAAAAAAAAAAACATTGGTTTGACAGATTCTCCACTTGTATATAAACATTATTCTATAGAAATAGAATTTTAGGTTTGGTTTCTTTCCACAGGAGGCAAAAGTTTGACCGTTTTAAATAAAAGAACAAAGGTTTAAGGCTCTATTTTTGTCTTTTCAGGCCGACAGTTTTCTGTCAGAGGCCCAATTTTCTGCCGAGTCACCAGAAACCATCGATCCATTGTTCAAGTTCCACGAAACCATCGCCAAGGTATGGCTGTGAGCTCGCATTTTACTCATTTCTAAGGATCAGGAAAGATTTGACTTTCTAATCATTTATCATTTATTAACCAAACTTTATTCTTCTTATATAAGTGAGGCTGAATAAAGTCTAAAGATTCCCTCTCAGTCCCACCTGGTGAGGAAAAAATATAACAAGATGTGTTTGATAGATTTGAGAGAGATAAGAAATAGAATGATGTGATTTCATTGTGAAAGAAAATGGGAATTGTATACTTTTAAACAGTGATTGAGTATTATTGTGTATTAGTGTGTTTAATAAGTTAAAGTTTGCTGGTGAAGATTCTAAGTCATCCAGGTCATAGTCATTCCAAAAATGTTTTAAAAAAAAAAGAAAAATACCAATCCACTGTACTTTGTTTCCACCCCTTTGGACTTGGTGTTGTTTGGTTTCTTTGTTAACCTCCAATACCCGGAACATGTCTATGTCTCTGAAAGGGGGGCCCTTAATCGATTTAGTTGATTCCTTCCAGCTATCATTTCAACCCAAACCCCTTTACAGGAGAACAGAAGACCTCGCCTCTTCAGCCAAGCCAACTATTCCCTATAATGACCCCCCCTTTCAGAGACTTTGAAACTTTTTTGGAATCAGTTAAAGTTCACCTGAAACAGCAGGTATCTGAAAACTAAAAAAGAGGCATGAGGTCTCAAAGTTAAAATGCTAAAAAAAGTCATGTGATAATGGACCGAACTGACTTCATGTGCAAGAAGATGCTCATTTCCCTGAAATCCTACCAGCAACGCCTGCTGCTTGCCCTAATGGCTGTTTGTTTACTCCCTGACAGCAGCAATCATCACAGGCTGCTAATTAGTTTTTGGGGAGTGGTGGACTAGTGGTTAGAGCATAGAGCTTGGAATCCAGAAGTCCTGAGCCGCACTCTCACAGACCGCCACTTTAGGTCCCCCAAGCAAAGACCCTTAAATCCCACACTGCTCCCCGGGCGCCGTACAATGGCAGCCCACTTCTCCCCATGGGGATGGGTTAAATGCAGAGAGTAAATTTAGTTGCTCTGTACTGGTGACAATGGAATGACTATAAAAAAGCTAGAAAGAAAAGATTTGCTCCCCTGGTTGCATGAAATGCTCTGTTGGTTCAATGGCCTCTGTGCTTGCCGTAGTCCTCTCGTCCATCTGCAGTCTGCTAAACTTAAAGTCAAGGAAACCAACATTTGAATGTGAAATAAAACACAGGAGCCAGACCACATATATATATATATATATATATATCTGGGCTCATGTACCTTGCAGCGCGCGACATACAGACTAAGGAAACACTTCACAGGTCACATGATCAAACCCTGTAAAGATGCCTCGCCCTGAGTTTGAATTGATTCAATGATTTTCAGGTAACTTACTGAGTTGTGTTGAGCTGAGGTGACCAGTTTGTTTTTAATCAACACAACAAAATAAATTACAGTAAAGTTTGATATACAACCAATAACAACTCAATTAAGTAGATCAGGTTTTATTTTCAGTTCACAAGTACATGGAAAAATAAGGAACAGTTTGAAATCAACTTTAGGAACATATTTCATCCACCTGCTCACCTTAACCCTATGACTACTGCAGGTTGCTGCAGCTTTGAACATGTTCCAGTTAGATTATTCAAAACAGTCCTGGAGATTCCCCATGGCCCCCTCAGACCACACTCTGACTTCTTTAACTTTTGGTTTAGCCCTGATAATCTGGGGCCTGTATACAGGAATTAGCATGGCAGAAAGGTGATCTGATGACCCGAGGTGGGGGCGGGGATCGTTGATGTTAGAGTAGGATAAATCTAAAATGTTTTCACCCAGAGTTGTAAAGTCCACATGTTGGCAGAAATGAGGGAGCACAGTCTCCAAGTTAGGCTAGTGAAAATCCCCAGCAATGATGAAAATACCCTCTGTGTGTAGATTAAAGCACAGAATCTCAAAAGGCCTGTTTTGTATTGGCGCTGGGGGGGATTTATACGGCAGTGATGCTAAGCCCACTGATCTCTCTGGGCAGATAGAACGATCTGCAGTTAACAGTCAGAAACTCGATGTCTGGAGAGCAGAAGCTGGCGACCGATCGAGCTTTTTTTATACCAGCTGTTGTTGATGTAAACATGCAGCTCACCACCATTAATCTTTCCGCTTAGTCCTTTGTTTTATTTGCGCAGGATAGCGTGAACCCCTGCAGGCTAATAGCATTGTACGGTATGTATCGATGAATAAAGCCATGATTCAGTCAGGATGATGGCACAGCAGTTACTAATCTCTTTTTGAAGAGAGTTTGATTATCCATTTGTTATCCAGTGAGCTAACGTTGGATAGCAGGATTGATGGGATTGGTGTTCTGTGGTAATTCCTCCTTAGCTTCGCCGTTAGCCCGCCTCTGCAGCCCCTCTTACGTCATCACACACTGCTTTCTCCGGCTTTCTCCTGGGCCTGACCTGCTCCCTTGTTTGTGCTGATAGGTTTTTAAGAAAATCGTTTTACTCTGGATCCACCCTTTCACTGAATTACAGGGTCTCACCAGGAGATGGCGCTTCTCTTTAGATCTTAATGTCCATAAAATCATGACATAATATTTTAGGTTAAAAAATTGATGTTTAAAAAAGGAATCTTAGAGGACCAGCCAAGGGCCCATCAAGGAGAGTGCGGACATTTTGAATGGCTATTACTAATTAACCCATCTATAATTTAATTGTTTTTTGTTTTTCTGCTGCTAGAATCAGCAACCAGCAGCGTCCTCCATAATTTTCCAGTTTGTCTTAATAAAGTTTGTCTCCTTCAGACCTTTATAGGAGTTTTAAAACCCTCTTCTTTTAATTTGTCTATCACAGAAATTCATTTGAATAAAAGTCTTAGTACTCCACCGTGTCAACAGCCTTATAGCAACCGTATGTTTTTCAGCCTGATATCAGCCGTGGTGAAGCGCACAGTAAACACTGAGGATGAGTGTCGTATTCATTAACAGCTGCTCGTTATGCACATCCTTATTAAGTAGATGTCTGAGAACCAGTGGCAACAGCCATTATTATATACAGCCAGCCTCAAAGCCAGCTCCTGTCACTCACTTAGTTGGTGTATGGGCTGAAACAGCAGAGTTATTAGCTAAGTACAGCATAAAACATCCACTTTTATCTCCGTCAGTCAAACCCTGTCCTATTTAATTGTAAAAACTAGAGCTAATATAGGCAGTGCGGCAGCGGTTTATTATTTTTTCTCTCTCTCTTTAGCGATGTAGCAGATCTAATTAGAAAGACTGCAGCTAGTTTTTCAGGAGCATATTTTTAAATTTTTACAAAGGGCGGATTTTCCTCCCCCCCCCAAAAGGAAAGGAAATCACCTGCCGGTCAGAATGCCATGTTTTATGTTCATTGCAGAAATAATTTATCCTTTTTCCTGCTTTGACATCTTTATAAAAGTCTAATAAAACACACAGAGCTTACGTAAGCTGTTGTCATATTAAAATTTCCATCTCATGTAACTGGGCCTTTTTAACATAGCCCTGACTGTTAAGAGGAACACTCTCATTGCTTATAAATGTCACCAGTTAACAATAGTTATCACCTCTGTGGGAAAGCTGTCGGCGCTTACAAATTACATAAGGCTATGTGACATTTTCATTATCTTTTATGGAGCCTGGCTCCAAACGAAGGGGTGTCTCTGCTTGGCCAGCCTACAAGTGCAAAATAACTCGTAGTATAGCAGGACTCAGAAGTTTCTACACAAATCATCCTTTTGATGAACTTAAGGATCCGTACATTTTAAGAAGAAATAGATTTTCCTTATTTTCTTTAAGAATGTGTCTTCTTTATGGCACAGCCTGTTAGAAGAACACATTTAAATTTAATATCTACTGAGATCAAAGGTGGAGCCGTGGTTGGTGCACATGACCCATGAATGGAGGCCTCAGTCCTTACCGTGGGTGACTATGCCGCCTTTGGCCCGCCTTCTGGTTCCACCCCTGCAGTCAGATTTTGGAGTAAAAAAAACCCCACAAAGATAACAAATAAAGTAGTTATTGTTGATTTTCACCACTTGAATTAGTCTGTTAGATGCAACCCTTAGGAGATTCGGGAACGTTTGGTATGACTGAAAAATGATAAAATGGGTGGAATATATCTTCCAGGCACTATGTCATTCTGCAGGTGGAGAAGAATAGTGAAATATTGGAGACTAACACAGGTTTCCACTCAACATGCCAAAAAATTCATTTTCCTGAAAGCAGTCAGAGGGCTGTTCATTATCAGCTTCCTGTGTCCTCAAACATGGATGTTATCTAAAATAATTCATACAGTGGGTAGAAATGATGAACAGCTTGGACTGGTGTTGGTGTGTGTGTGTGTGAGAGCAGAGTTAAGTGCTACGGTGCCTCGCCGTACAGACGCCCTTCACATTCAGCCCATCCCTGCTGGATGGTGATTGCTCTTTTAAAAGGCGCCTATTTGGCAGCTCATTTTTCTCTCCTGATTTGATTCAAACACCTATTTCCCTCATCTGCACAGACAGGTGTGGAAACTCGCTGACCTCGAAAAACAAATATGAAAAGTAAGGACAGCTTGTTCTTCCAACCTGACATGCGTTTGTATCTCCAGCCAGCATGAGGCCTGTTCTCCTTCGTCCTTCTCCACATTTAAGGGATGAACAGGTTGGTCTGTCAGTAACACTGAAGGCGTTTAAGATTGGTCTATTTTATAAACGAAACAATACCGGTTCATCTAGCTGAAGAGTTGAACTGTTATTACAGTAAGAAGGTCTCCATTTCAAATTTATGAAATATCAAAGATCATTGATCAGTCTGAATAACTGCTGGTGGTCAAATGTTCCCTTTAAGGAAAAGTCCGGTCAGTGAGGAATAATCAATGGATCATTATTTATACCTAAAACTAATACATCTGCGGAGATTTAATGAATTTAGCGTTAATCCATATTTTAAGTTTAATCCGTAATTTTTATCACGATCACTGCATCTGGGAGCGGCCATTTTTGCCCAAATATA